ACCCTGAGACCCCCGTCCCTTACCTGGCCTTTAAGTATGCGTTTGGGGAGTTTGGAGTTTTCTTGGGTATGAGCCACCCCGTCCTCCTTGCTCGGCCCTGCAACACACCTTTCTCTGCTCCAAACTTCGATGTTTCAGTTTGTTTGGCCTTATGGTGCCACAGGCAGACAAACTTGCCTTTGGTAATGAAAGGAAACAAAAAATAACAAACAAAAAACAAAAAAACTTTTAAAGCTAAAATTGAGACAAACTGGGACCTGGGCACCGAGCCCTCAGTCCCGAGCCCCAGGCCCCTGGGCTGCAATGCTTGCACCGGACCTGAACAACAGGATTCAAAAAAACTATAAACGACTAAAAATAACTGTGCATGCCCAACTGGGAAGAGTTATGAGCAATAAAATGCAAAAAGACCAAAAGCCAAACTGCCGCTTCCGAGGTATTAGCAGCAAAAGCACGGTACTGCGCATGACCCCTGAGCACAGCACCACCAATGGGGTGGGCTGACCGCCTAAGCCACCCCTGGCCCCGCCCCTGGACCCACCCCTACCCTCACTCCAATTAAGGAACTCGCTGGCATCAGGGAGTAAAGCAAGGGAACCTGTTGCTTGTTTTCACTCCCTCGTGCTGCAGCCCGAGTCCCAGTAAAAGCTTGCCTGAATTTCTCGTCTATTGATTAAGGAGGCCAAGAACCTGGGTTGGTAACAAAATTAGTTTTCTTTATCAGTACACTGTCTCAAAAATCTCACATATTACTTGTTTAAGAGAAGTTAAACTTTTTAATGGAGGCATACTGGAGCTTAAAAAGTCAGGTTTGTTTCACAAATAAAAACAAGTAAATTTTTAGTCATGGTTTTACAAATGCTTTTATAGTATACTGTAACTTTGTAATAGGGAAGAACAAATCTGATCTGTTCCTTTCCTCTAACCCTGTGCTCTGTTTCCTGCCCTTAGTCATACTAGTTCTGCATCTTTCCTAAAAGAATATTGCCCATAGCCTGACATACACAGGATAGCACATTCTTAAGGCTCTGATCTTTAAGGGGCTTACTTTTCCATTCATATAGACATAAAAAGTTGCATAACAGAGAATAACATTTGCCTTGTTGGAGGTTTAGAGGGACACCATGACCTGACCTACCTCAACAGATGCAAGAACAAAGGATTCTGACACCAAGAAATTTGCAACAACCAACTATACCCCCTTTCCTTTTTAGTATAAAATTAGCCTGAATTCTGACTTGGATAAGACAGTTTTCTAGGACCCTAGTCACCCCATGTTCTCAGTCTGTTGGCTTTCTGAATAAAGTCATTATTCCTTGCTCCAATACCTCGTCTCCCAACATATTGGCCTGTTGTGTGATGAGCAGAATGAGTTTGGACTCAGTAACAACTTTATCTTAAAACATATATGAAGTATCAATCATCTCCAGACTTCCTTTTATTCAGAGAGATAACATTTGATATCTTAAATCTTGATTTTTTATTTTACCATTAGCTATTTTTTTTCTTAAACTGACAAAACCATATTTTAATTTGATTTAGAGTGAAAGTAAGTGAAGTCTACTGTTGGTTCCCGTTTGCAAACAGTGACACATTATGCAGTCCATAAAAATTACAGGCACTATAATTTATTGGTTTGGAATCCTGAGTTTCATTTTTAGTTTATTTCCTGAGAATCCATTCTGTGATACTGCCTGAAGCATATCCTTTGCAAACACACAAACGGATAATGTTAGTTTCCTAAATAAGGTTTACTAGCTGAGACTGAACTTCCCTGTCAAATGCAGCAAGAAATTCAGGCTGCTTCTCAACTCCATTAAGCAGTTAATGTCAGCTGGGTTAAATGTTCTCAGTGGCAGACATCAGTACCAGAGAAACACCTGGGACAGAGGATGGTCTCTTCACTGAGCAATTTCCTTAACTTGCAGGACTGAGATTCCATCTGAGCAGGGCTTTCACTGAAGCACATTTCTAAATCATACCTTTGTTTTTACTGTAGGTGGCAGGATTTTTATGTTTTACATCTTGTTGGAACCCCGTATTTTCTTGCAAATGAAAACTTAGGTAATTTATCCAACAGATTATGTTTTATGAAAATATTCACATGGTTCCAGAGAGAATGGCCAGGCCTTTGATGATGGTTTGTTATTGTTTATAAACAAATACATGTTATTTGACCTGATCATATTTCACATGTTTTATTTTTCTTTTTATCCTGCAATTTCAGTCTTTACCTAAATTTTGAAAATTATTCAGTATATTAAGGACAATAATTATTGAAACTTTTAAAAAGAGAATTCACTCCTGATTAAGGTTTGAAAATGGTTATATCTGCATTGACTCAATTATTCCAAATGAGTACTACAAAGATTATTGATCGAGATATAGTTATTTCTCAAATAGAGTATAATTTAGCCATTAATAGTTAAAAAATAGCAATTTAAAAACACAAAACGAAAATCTACTAAAATGTTTAAGCTTATGAAACTGTGACTCTTAAAATCTTTATTTAGACCTCCAATAGCATAAAATACTACCACTCACATTTTTGTGATAATTACATAGATCTGTGTATAGTTAAAATATCACTATTTTTTTATCCTGTATTAAACCATTTTCATCATGTCTTTTTAAAAGCAAATTGTGTTAGTGAAGATAATTTTCTTGGCCAGCCCACGTAAGGCTAATGTATTTATATTTTAACTCCCATAAAAATTTGTGCTTTATTATTTATTTCAAACCTCTAAAACAAAATAATTAGGGTAGGTTGAAATTCATCAAAAAGCTTTTGGCTTCTCCTTAATCTGAAGTCAACATATGCTTTTCCTTAATAACTGTTACTTATTCTACTCATGGGAAATAGCAAATTATCTAAAAGTTAACCCCAAATTGCTTAATTTTCTATTTCAGCTCCTTCACATTTTTTCTACTTGGTCCATACTCTCAATTAACCTAAGGAAAAATCTGTCTCTGTACAAATCACTACACTTGCCAATAGTAAAATAACTCTCATTCACGTCTGCTTAAGGAGAACCACAAAAGACCTACTTTGTACAAATATGTTCATGTAGGCATTTTAAAGAGAATTTTAGCATTTTTTAGGACTAACTTTATGAATACTTCTGGGTAAAAAAAAAATGAGACCTAGAACTATTCTCTGTTCTCATTTGAAAATCTTCATGACTTCTCCTCAAAAGTTTGCCACACTGTTTGAAATACTTAAGTGTGTCAGCATGGCAATAACACACACACATAAATAACGTTTATTAATAATACCTTTTTGTTTCTGGAGCTCAAGATTCTGTCATCAGGGCTAGATAACAACCTTATATAGACAGGAAAATTAGAGATCAAAAAAAAAATCTAACATACTCTCAATAGACTATAGACTTTCTTACAAAGAATAACATTTTCATTTTTTTTCTCCTGCAGACATCAGATCTTAAAACTTTGATAGTCTCTTTCATGAGTTTACCACGTTCTTGTCCAGAAAATATTCACATAGTCAGGGTATCATGTGACCTTCATGATAATTTTGTGATTTAGGTGAAGAAGTATCATAACCACTTAACAGAATAGAAAAAACCTGAGGCCTACAGAGGTTGATTTGCTCAATATCATACACATTGAACCCAGGTCTTCCAATTCTAAATTTAGTTCAGAACCTTACCACCACCCCTCTTTGTATGCTAAAGTATTTTTCTAAATTGCTTTCCTTAGGGCAATAATACATAATAATTTTTCCAGAAAACTGGGTACATGTGATAGAATGTAAAATTTGGCATGATTTCCTTGGAAATCTGTGCTATAGTAGTCAGTTTCTCAATTGTTCTATTATGTGTTCATCATGGCCTCTCCCACCATGGCCTGATGAAGGCAACACACAAAGTAAACATTTATGCCTGATTATTCTAGCCCATATTCCAGTTGGGCAGTCATACTGGTTTATGTTTAATTTAACTTTTTCTATGGAAATAGCATTGATTCACTTTTACTTAGATCATTGTTCCAAATGCAATGACGTCCCACTTCCTGCCATAATACAGGCAGTGTACCCCAGAATCACTAGCATCAAGTAACTGCATGTCCACCTTATGCAGATCTGTGCACTCTATGCACAGATACACAGAGAAGGCTAATGCTCTGCAGAACTTACAGAGCAGATGACTAAGTAGGAACTGAAAACCCAAATGCATAAATAGCTACATTAAAATTCTTCCTGGTTAAAAGGATGGCAAACATCAGAGTCTGTTGCTCTTACTGTCATTTTAGGTTTTAAGTGGTTTCCCTTTGTGGTAACTCACACTACCTAAAAGTGGCATGAGTTGAATCGTGCCCAGGTGTAAGGCAAAGCTGAACAGCTGAGCTTCTAAAGCCTTTGTGGGTCTCATTATCTCTGAAGCTCAGAGAAGATAAAAACCAGGCTCAAAGTTGGACAGCTAGTAAGGGACAGGTCTGCCTGACTTTTAAGTCTAAGATTTGCTCCTGTTTCACAGGGCTTTTGGGAGGGTTAAATGAGAGTTCCCAGCGAACTCAGAATAAACTCATGCTCGTTTCGGCAGCAGCACATATACTAAACTTAGAATGATATGGAGATTAGTATGGCCCCTGCACAAGGATGACAAGCAAATCCGTGAAGTGTTCTGTATTTTTGAAAATGACACACATGAACTTATTTACAAAACAGAAACAGACTCACAGACATAGAGAACAAACTTATGGTTGCCAAAGAGGAAAGCAGGGGCAGGAGGGGCAGGGGAGAAATAAACTGGGAGTTCGGGATTTACAGATACTACCTACCATGTAAAATAGATAGACAACAAGGTCCTACTGTATAGCACAGGGAACTATATTCAATACCTTGCAATAGCTTATCATGAAAAAGAATATGGAAAGGAATATATATGTATATGTATAAATGGATCACTGTGCTGTACACCAGAAACAAACACAACATTGTAAACTGACTGTACTTCAATAACAAAACAAAACAAGAAACTCCACAACTTTGGGATGTAGCAGTCAGTGTAGGAATTGGAGGATGAAACCATCTGCAGCTCTCAGGTGTTTTGGCTAAAGCCAGTCACATGCAGAGCACACAGCAGTGGTCCCAAAAGCCACAAGAATAAGAATACCCAATAGCACAGTGCTTTGTCTCACTTCATACAGTGACAGAGCCTTGGCCTGAAAGCTCTAGCAGCATCTCACTATACATCTGACAGTTTTCAACCTGCAATAGTGACACAGAGCTGTGGATTATGCACACAGTAATGCCAGGAGGTGCAGTATTAGGCTAAAGAAGACTGTAATAAACAGAAATTTCTATGTGGCCCCTACATGCGTGGAAATCTTGGAATTGGAGAAGTAACAAGGAAAAATCATTCCTTCTCTTTGTTCCCCAATAGTTAGCCTCATGAGGAATTTTGGGATCCTGACTTTTAACCTCTTCTAATCTCTGGACCTTATTTAGATGCATAAGAAGAGTTTAAAAAGCCATGTTCTATCTACATTTCAGTTTTTGGTAGATGACTTGCTACTTGAGCAAGAGAAATTGAAGCATAGCTGAATGTAGTTTAATGTTGTAATTATGTAAAACTTACAACTAAACAAAGCTGCTACATATCACTATTAAAGGCATGGCTAAGAGCTTTTGTGTATATGATAATTAGCCATAGATAGGCCATTTTAATAATGGTTGTAATTATAAATTTTTCATCTAATTAATTCAAATGGATTTTTCTCCTTTCTTAATTCTCTTGTATGTCTGCTTAATATCCATGATATACTCTCCTGATTCACTCACTTGCATGATTAGTCTCCTTTTGCTCCCTCCAGCCCCATTCAGTAAAAGGCAAAGGTTCTGAATCCTAAAATTTTTCTACATCTTGCTATGTAGTTAGGCCTGGAGTAACACATGCCTACCTTGCCTGTACCAACTTTTCTCAGACAGTTTTGAGCAGCATTTTTAGATGCTTCATGATTCCCATCCCAGTTGAGAAATAGGGTGTGTGTGTCTGTGTGCCTAAGTACGTCAGTGGTGGTGAATATGAAGGCTGTTGCAAGAACTGAAGGGCTAAAACCTCACAGACTCTGAGCCTGTGGACAGCAGATCCTTTCAAAGCTCAACAATTGCTTGGCATGTGTGATAAAAATGATGTTACAGGTGGGAAGAAGTGAGGAAGGAGCTCAGACACGTTACTTCCTGGAAGTCCCAGAGACAGGCCTTTCCCACGATGGATTTTAAAATGAAATCACACAAACAAATATAAGTTTATCATTACCAGATGAAGGAAGTGAAAGAGAGAGTTGCTGAGGAAAGAAGGAATGTACCTTCCGCCTGTCCGATTTGAAATAACAGAATCTGTCTGTGGGCTGGGCACTGTTATAAAGCACTGCACAGCGTATTCCATTTAATTCTGATGAAGTCTCTGCTGTGGGTCTCTATCTCCGAAGCGCAGAGAAGATAAAAACCAGGCTCAAGGTTGAAAAGCTAGTAAGTGACAGGTCTGTCTGATTTTTAAGTCTTAAGGCTTGCTCTTGTTTCATAGGGCTTTGGGAAGGGTTAAATGACAGTTCTCAATTAACTTAGAATAAGCCCCCAACTCTACACCATGGCCTGCCCATCCCACCAAAATCATTTTCTTTTTCCTCAAGTATGCTACAATCACAATGATGTTACTTTCTAAAATTGGAAGATAAAATTCTTTAGCCTCAAGGCCTTGACATGGTTAGTCTCTGCCTGGAGTGCTCTCGTCTCAGCTAGTCCAATGTCTGGCTCTTTCTTAAGCCTCAGCTCACATGTCATCAATTCTGAGAGGCCTTCTCTGACCAACCTATCTAAAGCCTCTATAACACTTGCTATGAGTAATGATTTATTCAATTGATTACTTATTTATTGTCTCTTTTTAAAGCCTTGGTCCATGAGGGTAGGTACATCTATTATCTCCAGAATCTGCCATAATATTGATAAAGGCATTAGATCTATATGTGAATGAATAAAAAAAAAAAAAGCCCCATCAGAGTCTGGCATATATCTCAGTCATACATATTAATCTCCTTCATCCTCTAATCACTACAAGAAAGCAAAGGTAGTCAGCAAAATAATAAATCATTGAATATTCCCTTGTCTGTGATGTGTGATTTTTAGAATTGAGAGGCCCTTGGATTCTTGTCCTTACTTTGGTTGTTGAGTGTGAGACTCATGCAAGCACTCTCATCCTCCCTGCCCCAACTTCAGATTTAAAGAGGAACTGAAGCAAAAATAAATACACACATACATTCATACACACACAGGGTTGCCAGTATCTGCAGGGTACTCAGGCACCACCAGGGACTGGAAACATTGCTTGGGGACTTCTGTTTAATCATAGCTGACATGTAATTTCTCCTAGGGGCACACAGACAACATGAGCAAGTGAAGCTGGCCCAGGGAGGGCACCAAGCACAGGAGTATGTGTGTTTCACATCAAGGGGACACTCCACCCAGCTCCAGCTACTGCTGGGTGATGATGCCGTGGTCGAATAGGGCTCAATGTAGCCAAGTATTCTATTCTGTTCTTTTTCTTTCTTTTTTTTTTTTTAAAGACAGACCAGAAGTTAGATTTTTATGCAGAAATCTTTCTAATTCTAGGTAATAAAAATTAACTTTAAAAATTAAAACTTTTCCAATTTTCAGTAACATGGATGGACCTGGACTGTATTATGCTTAGTTAAATAAGTCAGAAAGAGAAAGCCAAATACTGTATGTTTTCACTTATATGTGGATCTAAAAAATAAAACTAGTGAATATAAAAAAAAGAAGCAGACTCACAGATAGAGAGAACAAAGCCATGGTTACCAGTGGGAAGAGGGAACAGGAGAGGTACAAGATAGGGGTAGAGGATTAAGAGGTACAAACAATTATATATAAAGTAAAAAAGCTACAAGATACACTATATAATATAGAGAAATAGCCAATATTTTATAACTATAAATGGAGTATAACCTATAAAAATTTGAATCACTATGTTGTACACTTGAAATTAACATAATACTGTAAATTAACTGTACCTCAATTAAAAAAATTAAAATGTCATGTGTGGGATAGGGAACTCTATTCAATATTTTATAATAACATCATGGAAAAGAATCTAAAAAAGAATATATGTATACACATATATGTATAACAGAATCACTTTGTTGTACAAATGAAACTAATACAACATTGTAAATCAAATATGCCTCAATAAAAATAAACAAATACCATGTGTGGGAAAAATCTCCAGAGCAATGCTTTCACTAATCACCAGTTGTCCTAATCATTATATGATACCATTTTCTCTTCCCTTTCTATCCTCAAGGAGAAGTTCTTGAACTACAGAGGAGAAAACTAAATTCAAATGCACTTTAGACAGTATCTCCATTCCTTGCAGTTAGAATACAACTTCTCTGAATTTCAATTTTTTTTATAAAACTTCAGATATTATTGATTAAAAATAGAAGAATTAAGGTCAAACTTCCTCACAGGGAATAAAATCTCCATAATATATTGTATAGAGAAAAAGCAGTTAGTGTTCAAACTGCCTTTTTCAGGATTGAAAACAATATTTATACATAAATCCCAAACCAATTTTGGCCGTTCTGAATAAAAATAAGAATAAAAACAGTAAAATCAATTTTTAAAAAATCGTATCATAATCAAGCATCTGCTCTTGCTATCGATGCATGTTGTCCATGCCGAAATGACGCCCTACTAAAAAGAGGGAGAAAGCACCATTCCTAGGAAGAAACTAACGGTGAGCAGTGTGTTGCTTTTTCACTATTTTCATGGGCTATCCTTTCATCTCAAGAAGATTTGGAAAAAAACTGAAGAAGGGAAAGGTCAAAATTTTCAAAGGTAATTAACAGTACACTATAGTGATTTATTGACCAATTGTGCTGAAAATAGTGTATTGTTCTATTTTTCATCATAAAGAAGTAATGTTCAAATATTTTGTAAGTAAATATTGAACTCATAAAAATTTCAGGAACCCCCAAGTCTAACATCACAACTTCTGAAGACTATTTAAACAACATATCCTCTGTCCTGTTCCCATTTCATTATTAATAACAACAGCCACCTGAATGAAGAACAAACTATAGGTCCAATTTGTACAAGGGATTTTGTACCCTCTACCTCTAGATTATACCACAATCATGCAAGGCAGGGCTTATTCTCTTTTTATGGACAAAGACAGTTTCAAAGGAGCTGAATGACAAATTTTAAAGACATCTGTATTTGAACCAACTCAGAGCCAAGTGGCTCCAAGTGTCTTACTTCCCACCAATATGTGTGTGTGTGTGTGTGTGTGTTTTACGTGTTGTTATTTGAAAATAGATAATAATCAGGTATGTGTTATATACACATGCTAATTATTTCCGGTATTTCAAATATATACCACAAAGCTTATCACTAACCTGCTTAATTCTCTTTAATTTATAGAAAAGGGTAAGGTTGATAAAAACCAACTGTTTAAGAATTTCTTGTTAACTCACATTCTGATCCACAGAGAAAATTACTCTTGTAATGTTTTGCTCTCAAAACAAAGGTTAAAAGTTTATTCTTCTAAGTACTGGAAAAGCTAAAACCTGTATTCCCAACATGATAAATATCTAAAACACAAAAGCAAATAAAT